AGCACAATACAATTCAAATCTCAAAAGATAAATAAAATGACTTTTACTTTTTGCGGTTAAGATTTCTTTAAATTTTACTTTAAAGTTAATCCGACAGCTAATATTAACACTCTAAATTTAATAGGAAAAATAAGTCTCTAAGGGTGTGTTTAAGGTAATTNTTGCCCCACCACCACACGTTATCTCCCACCATTGTCACTCATCCCCACCACACCTACCACTGCTATTTGCTACCACCAATCACATTGTTGCCCAAAAGCACCTGTCGTCGGCCCACCACCACCATTGCCAACCGCCATCACCGTCGTCCACCACCACCCACACCCACACTCATACCCACCGTCACCCATGGCTGCCACTGTCACCATCGTCACCCAAAACCCACCACCACCATCACCGTTGTCATTCACAACTGCCACCATCACCATAGTCGTCGTCACCTACCACAACCATCACTGTCCCCCCACCACCACCACTATCGCCCACTACTACTACTATCGTTCACCCCACTACAACTGGTGCTTAAATTCTTTTCTTATATTTAGGATTTGATTTTGGGTGTGAATACAAATATGTTTATTGTTGACTATTTTTTTTATTACTCCGTGTTTTTAGGTACGGGCAATAACTAGTCTATATAATAAAGCACAATACAATTCAAATCTCAAAAGATAAATAAAATGACTTTTACTTTTTGCGGTTAAGATTTCTTTAAATTTTACTTTAAAGTTAATCCGACAGCTAATATTAACACTCTAAATTTAATAGGAAAAATAAGTCTCTAAGGGTGTGTTTAAGGTAATTTTTTAAAAATACTTTTATGACTTATAATTTCTCATAATACTTAAAAAAAAAAAAAAAAAGTAGTATTTGGAATTGCCTCACCACCACCTCTATCATCACCACCCCCATCGTCATACCACCATCACCACTATTACCACCATCGCCACCCCACCGCTACAGCTACCCTCAGCATCACCATAACCACCACCACCATTACTAGTACCCATACCACACCACCACCACCAGCATTCCACTACCACGTCCACCACCCCATCACCACCATTGCCTCGTCACTCTCACAACTACCACCGCCACCACCCCACCACCACTTCTGCCCTAACAACCACCAACACCACTTCCCTCATTGCCCTACTACCTTATCGCCTCACCGCCTCATCATCCCCACCACCACCGCCACCCCACCACCACTGTCATCATCACCGCTACCGCACCCTACCACCATTGCCACTGTTCCACCACCACCCCCCCACCGCCCCACGACCATCACTATCACCATCACCACCACT